GGCGGTCTCCTGAATCACCTATCTGCACGGTATCCATCTCTTGAACTGAGCTGCTCAACCCTATATCATTTGGGGTAAACGCATGAGTTCCTGTAGCGACAACCCCAGTGAACATTCCATCTAGTTTTTCCTCCATTACTGGATCAATGCCAACGAATTTAAATTTTTTGGCTGACGGTACTGCCTGTTATAAATAACAAATGTGCATTAATAAAGTAGTGTTAGGTCAATGCGAAATTAGATTAAACATAAAGTAAAAAGATTAAATTACGTACCTGTAGTTTTTCAGCCCACCATTCCTCTGGTGCATCTATTGTGCGCTTAACAGGATCCCAGCCCATTCCTGTTGATCCCTGTTTTAGTTCTTTCCATAGTTTCCAATCCTTCTTTAACTGGTCCCATTTGTTCTTCATTTTCATGCGATCGTAATCTCTTCCAGTCATTTCTTTGAATTTAACTAAAATATTTCCCCACCCTTCTTTGTTAAAAAATGTAGTGGGTCTATTTCTCACCTCAACCTCCCTTACACATAAATCACAGAGATTATAGTAACTTCTCTATCCCACATGGCCGATGTTACAGCCATTCTAGCTTTACTCATTGAGTTCTGTCAGATATATGGATAGGCATAAAATGTTTCTTTTCATAACAAAAAAAATCATAAAACGAAAAGAACAATGTAAATATCTACTTTGGGAAATGTAAATATGAAAAATGACTTTCTCTGGTATGAAATAGCATGAACTATCTTATTTTATTTGCTTATTTAAACCATCTCTATTCATGATATAACATCCATAAATTTCTATGAATTAGGTACCTACGAGGATTTCTTGAAGTATTTAAGCAAACAAAGAAACATTAGAAACATAATGCAACCACTGACATTTCATTTCGTAGCAAAACGACCATGAATTAAATGAAATGGTTATATTTTACTTTATAATTAATTTCATTTGTTCAGTTTTCATTTCATTTCCTTCCATTTACATTTCATTTCATGGTAATTAGGGTGCTCCATTAATAGCTAAGGAACAAGGGTTGTATTAGAGGGGGATTGTTCTTCTCCATCATATAATAACATGTAGAATGTGTTGCATTAGAGGGGGATTGCTCTTCTTCAGTTAAATCAAAGAAACATACTAATAAATAAATATTAGAAGCCCATAACTAGCGTCCTTCCTATGAACTTCATGAGACAACTAGGAAATAATTAAGCCAGATCCATAGAAGCTAAGAAAAAATGACCTCAAAGAACAAATTTTTGCCTAAGGTGTGAATCGTTGAGATTTCAGTTATTAGGAAAAATGCTTACTGAAAATATCAAAATTGAAACTTTAACATATATAAC